CAGGGACTGGTCCATGATAAAATGTCCAAAGTACATGAGACAAAGTACCATCCTCACCTCTAAGGAGCATTCGGGCTGTACTTCTTCCAGGATAGATTTGTTCATCCTTCTGGCAGTCCTCGGTATGTTCAATAATCTACACCAGTGCCACAGTTCAAATGCATCCATTGTGCTTTGGTCTTCCTTGGTTATTGTCCATTTTTTTTTCATGCATATGAAGTGACTGAAAATACCATGGCTTGGGTCAGGCACGTCTTAGTCCTCAAAGTGACGTTTTTGCTTTTTAATGTTTAAAGAAGTCTTTTGCACCAGATGTGCCCAATGCCTCATACGGTTTGATTTCTTGACTGCTGCATCCATGGGCATTGATTGTGGATCCAAGTAAAATGAAGTCCTTGACAATTTTGAATTTTCTCCATTCCTCAGGATGGTGCTTATTGGTCCAGTTGTGAGGATTTTGTTTTCTTCATTTAGTAGTGTGACCCATACTGAAGGCTGTATGTAGTCTTTGCTCTTCATCAGTAAGTGCTTTAAGTCCTCTTTGCTTCCAGCAGGCAACATTTTGTGTGTGTGTGTGTGTGTGTGTGTGATGTGGATGAAAGTTGACAGAGCACAGTTATTTTTCATTCAACAGTTCATGCACATTTTGTTTCAATCTCCACAATGTAACAGCTTTTTTCCCAATTCCTCTCTGTGGTTACCTTTCTCCTGTGTCCTTCTTTCCTGTCATTCATGTTCCTTGAGCTGTCTCCCTGTGCAAATGCTGGCCTTCTGATCGCCCATGGTTGATTGCTCTAAGGAGTGTACCTACCTGGTGTAATTGCTCACCTCATAGGTCTGTCTATTGTTTGGCTGGATGTGAAGCTATGCGAGTGAGTGCAATTCTAGGGCTGAAGGGGAACCAGGGGCCACAGCCTTGGGGGTTTCACCAGTCTCTTATCAGATCAGTAAACATGCTCCTTTTAATGATTTTGAGTTTTGTTCCACATTTTTTCTCCCACTCTATTCAGGATCTCCAATTTTGATCCCTTTCTGGGTGGTTGGCAGTGGTAGCCAAGACACCATCTGGTTCTTCTGGTCTCAGGATCACGTAGGCTGAAGTTCCCATGGTCCACTAGTCCCTTGGACTAATTGTTTCCATGCATCTTTGATTTCTCCACTCTTCTTTCCTCCTGACAAGAAGAGAACAATTGTTGCATCTAGATGGCCACTTGCAAACTTTTAAGACCTCAGTCACTACTCACCAACGTAGGACACAGAACAATGTTTTTGTGTAGTATGTTGTGCCAATTGAGCTTCAGCAAGCAATATGCTGTCACCTGCATATCACAGGTTGTTAATGAGTGTTCTTCTAATCCTGATGTCATGTTCTTTTTCATCTAGACCAGCTTCTTGGATTATTCACTCAGCATACAGACTGATTAAGTATAGTGAAAGGATACAAATCTGACACAACATCTTTCCTGATTTTAAACCACATAGTATCCCCTTGTTCTGTTTGAATGACTGCCTCTTAATCTATATACTTATTCCTCATGAGCACAGTTAAGTGTTCTGGAATTCTCATTCTTTGTCATGTATTCCATATTTGTTATGATCCACACAGTCTAATGCCTTTGCACACTCATTAAAACACAGGAAAGCATCTTCATGGTATTCTTTGCTTTCAGCCAAGATTATTCTGACATCAGCAATGATATCCTTTGTTCCACTTCCTCTGCTGAATTTGGCTTGAATATCTGGCAGTTCCCTGTCAACGTACTGCTACGATTGTTTTTTAATTCTCTTCAGCAAAATTTTATTTACGTGTGATATTAATGATACTGTTTGATAATTTCCACATTTTGCTGGACTACTGTTCTTTGGAATGAGCACAAATACAGATTTTTCCAGTCAGTTTGCTAAGAAGATGTCTTTCAAATTTCTGGCACAGATGAGTGAGCACTTTCAGTGTAGCAGCTGTTTGCTGAAACATCTTAACTGGTATCTGGTAATCCTGGAAACTTGTTTTTCTCCAATGCCCTCAGTGCAGCTTGGATCTCTTCCTTTAATACCATTGGTTCTTGATCATATGCTACCTCATTAAATGGTTGAACACTGACCAATTCTTTTTGGTACAGAGACTCTGTGTACTCCTTCCATCTTCTTTTGATGCTTCCTGCATTATTCAATATTTTGCCCATAGAATGCTTCAATACTGCAACTTGAGGCTTGAATTTCCTTCTTCAGTTCTTTCAGCTTGAGAAATGCTGAGCATGTTCTTCCCCTTTGATTTTCCATCTCCAGGTCTCTGTACATTTCATTACTACTTTGTGTTCTCAAGCTGCCCTTTGAAATATTTTGTTTAGCTCTTTTACTTCATAATTTCTTCCATTTGCTTTAGCTACTCTACATTCAAAAGCAAGTTTGAGAGGATAATTTCTTAATAATAATGGGTTCAATTAATCACAAAGACATGACAACCCTAAACATGTATGTGCCTAATAACAGAGTTTCAGAATACATAAAGCAAAAACTGATCTTTAAGGAAAAATAGAGAAGTTCACAATCATGGTTGGAGACTTCAGTGCCTTTCAATAAAATATTTGGCAGAACAAGCAGACAGAAAATCAGCAAAGATATTGAAGATTTGAAAAACACTATCAAAAGCTTGACCTGATGTTTACTGAAAATATTCTTTTTAAGTGCACACAGAAAATTTACCAAGATAAATCACTCAATTAATCATGAAAAAAAAAATCTCGATAAATTTAAAGGTATTCAAATTATACAAGGTATGTACTCTGAGTATAATTGAATTTGTAAATCAATAACAGATGTTTTGAAAAATAGCCAAATTAAGTAATACATTTAAATAAACCATGGGTCAAAAAGAAATTAAAAGGGACGCACCTGTGGCTTCCAACCAAACAAAAGAAAGGCATATGCATTGAACATTTACCTGAGGTAGATATATTCCTTGGAGAGAACAATCATGGGAGAAAGAAGGGCTGTGTCTGGCACAGGGAGACAGCTCAGGGGGCAGGAGGGTATGGAGGGAAGGACACAGGGAAGAGGTAACTATGGGGAGGAAGTGGGAGGGGAGCTGTTGCATTGTGGTAAATTGTGGTCAATGTCATGAAAGAAAGTGTATGTGAGCTGCTGTAAGGAAAGTGAATTTACTCTGTAAATTTTCACCCAAATCACAATTAAAAAAACAATAAGAAGAAATTAAAAGGGAAATCAGGAAGTATTTTGAACTCAATGAAAACAAAAACACAACATATTAAAAAATCTGTGTGGTGCTGCAAAGCAGTGTTTAGAGCCGAGATCAGGAATGATTTTTTTTTAAAGGACCAGGTAGGTAACATGTCACACTTTGCAATCTGGGAGGCAAAATGGAGGACATTATGTAGATATTTACATAACGAAAGAGAAAACTCACAGACATTTTATTGAAATTATAAGTATAATAATTACAAAAATCACAATTTTTTGGTAATACATGTCAACTAATGAGAAAACTGGCATCCCATTGTGGAGAGGGTAACATTACACTCAACTGGAATTCAAAGATAGTGCTCCCTTATTATCAAAATTTATTGTGAATGTTCATCTTTTAAGGCTACTCTGTAATGAGATTTTACTATTTCATCTCTGAAAATATCTTTTCACACAACTCGGTATTGTGTGATATTGGTTATCAATGAACATATGACTTTGTCTTTTGAAAACTGTATTGAAAATTGTTGCTGTTGTTGTGTGCCGTCGAGTCAAACCCAACTCATAGCGACCCCTCCTTGGGTTTCCGAGGCAGTATCACTACAGAAGTAGGATTGCCCAACCTTCCTTCCGAGGAGTGGCTGGTGGGTTTGAACTGCCAGCCGTCTGGTTAGCAGGCAAGTGTCTTAGCCACTATGCTACCAGAGCTCCTAGTATTGAAAATATACACACCAAAACATCCTCCAATCCAACACTTTCCACTTATAAAATTCAGTAACATTAATTCTTCATACTGTGTAACCATTATCAATGTTGTCGTTGTTGTTATGTGCCGTCGAGTCGGCCCCGACTCATAGCGACCCCTCCTTGGGTTTCCGAGGCAGTATCACTATGGAAGTAGGATTGCCCAACCTTCCTTCCGAGGAGTGGCTGGTGGGTTTGAACCACCAGCCGTCTGGTTAGCAGGCAAGTGTCTTAGCCACTATGCTACCAGAGCTCCCATTAGCAATATCCTTTTCTAAATTATTCCACCACCTTTAACATAAACTAACAGCATAGTATCTTGAGCATTTTCCACTTTGGAAGACATTTAAAGAATTCTGTTAGATTCTTCTCTCAATACTTGCCATTAAGTATGTCATTAAATTGCAGATTAATCACCTTCAATCAAAGGTTATATGAGAGCTTCCCAACTGCATGGTTAAGTGGATTTTGAAAGATGAAAATTCATTTTGCACTTGCATCAAGTTCTGGAAAACAGTGCTAAAAATGTACTTTGCACTGGAAAAGTGTATTTGCTGCCTATTTACTTGGAAATAGACATCCGTTTCTTGTTTGAGCTTTGACGGGCAAAGCACGTGTAGAAGGAAGTCGGACACTTCTTGTGATTCAAACAAGGGTAGCTGTCACAGAAGTGACTTTACTGCAGAACGAGCTTCATGTATAATCACGTTTGCCTTGCAGTTTTAAATCGAATTTAAGCAATATCAAATTGGCAGCAAAAGCTCATTTCCAAACCCATCTCGTGTTTGCTAACAGTATTTGAGGGTGGCTCTAAATCAGAAATCTGGGACTGGTGCCGAAAGGAAACAACCCTGCTCTATGTAATAAAGACCTTTATTTCTAAACTGGGCTAGGTTGGGACTGCTCTGGGTACAGGCCTGTCCCCAGCCTCATCTCCAACCTGCAGCCTCGGGGGCTGGCGAGGAGCCTGGAGAGTTTGGGAGTGGGGTGGAGAAAACACCAGTGCCCCCTGCTGGCGGCCTGCAGCCGTTGACGCTTCCGTCTGGGCCACGGGCGTCCTCCTGGGACCCAGGGCTGCACCGCGGTGGCAGCCACGTCACGACCCGAGGGCACAGCCAGAGCGGGGCCTCTGGTTTGAGGCCGCCCACGGCCCTCCTCGGTCTCCTCCAGTTTGGGCATCTGGCGAGAGGTACAGGCACAGGTTAGATTCCGGGAGGGGGACTTCCAGCTAGGGTGGGTGCTGGTACCCAGCCAGGAGCCCTGACCTCCACTGTGGTGTTCCGGGGCAGGCCCTGAAGTCCAGGGCCAGAGAGTAGGCTGTCCCTGGCCTCCCCCCTCCATCATCTGACCCTCGGGGCCCAACCCACCCACCCTGCCTCCCACTCTGTCCCGGTCCTCATCTAGGTCGCTGTCCCTGTTCCGTTCCACCTCCCCTTACGCCGACCCCGGCCCACCCAGTGTCCGCCCCGCGGCTCCCCCGCGCCTTTCTGCCCTCCTCTCTGCCCCCACCTGTCTCCCTCTTCCTACCTGTCCCTTTGGCTCCTGTTTGTTCCCCAGGCCTCCGTCTGACCCTCGTCCACCTCCACCCCCCCCCCAGCCCCGCCGCCTTAGAAGATGGCGGTTGAGACCTTGGAGCAGGCTCTGGAGGTCTTCCTGGGTCCTAGCGTCCGGGCCGGGCGCAGCGCTGGCGGTGGGTACCCGGGTGACAGGCAGCAGCAGCAGCAGCAGCAGCAGCGACGGCCACATGGCCAGGCAAGCAGGGCAGCGGGCTGGCAGGGGCCGGGGGTCAGACCACACCTCCGCTGGGCCCCCATCTCCCTGAACCCGGTGCACTCATTCCCCGCCTCCACCCCCGAGACCAGCCGATGCCCCCAGACCACCTGCACGCCCTTATCCCTTTCTGCTCCGCCCAGTCTTGGGGCCAGGCCCCAGCCGTGCTTCATGCCCAGGCCTAGGCGCATCTTCACCTTGTCTTCCGGGTGCCTCTCGAGTCAGCCCACAGCCTGGTCTTCGGCTTCCGCCTCCCAATATACCGGTAAATCGAAACCGCCGGCTTCTCCAGCCACAGCCACGCCCACCCCTCGCGTCGATGACCACGCCCCTAGAGACACAGCCACGCCCCCATCCTTTAGCCCACCAGTTGCAGCCCCACTGAAAGACCACGCCCCCTGAGTCAGAGCCACACCTTGTCTTCGTTTAGCGCTTCCCTAGAGCCCAAATGCTAACTAACCAAAAGACTGACTCCACAGCCACTCCCCAGAAGGAAGATGGGGCACTGTACCGCCTCGGAAACCCAGTGGGAGTCGCTATGAGTCTGAACCGAGTGCATGGCAGTGAGCTGTTTTTATAAGAGCCCAAATCGGTAACCACTCCCCCACAGCAACAACCATTCCTCTACGTGGAGCTCTGGTAGCTAGTGCCTAAGGCACTTGACTGCTAACCAGAAGGCTGGCAGTTCAAACCCATCAGCCACTCCTCGGAATATGGGGCAATCTACTTCAGCAGTGATACTGCCTCGGAAACCCAAGGAGGGGTCGCTATCAATTGAGTCAGACTCGGGCGCACAGAACAACTTGTTGAGCAAGTCTTGGAGACCCAACATGGTCTTGCTTCTTTGATCTTGGTCCTTGCATCGAAGCCCCCAGCATTGAGCCAGCACCTGGGCCAAACCTTTGCTGCCCTACACTGGAACCCTCAAACCCTCAGCCCGGAACAAGTGTCTGGGAGAATTCTGCTGCAAAATAGAGCTACTGGAAATCATACACCTATTAGAAAATCCAGAAACAATGGCACCATGAAATGCTATGGAGGTGTTTGGTGGACGCAGAAATACTGAATCTCAGATAGTTAACTGAAAGCAAGCAAACCGTGATACACAGTACCATAGGCAGCAAGGTGGAATAATGTAATGGTTGATGACTTAGGCTGTGGAATCAAGAGACCTGGGTCTGAACCAAGAATCCACTTAAATCAAGAACATATGTGGAAGTAAAACCCAAAAGTTAAGGAAAGAGGCAGTGGGACCTAGTGTTCAACAAAAGATGATCATATATGACAACAAAAACTCAAGCAAAGACAAAATAGGTAAATGAGACTTCATAAAAAGTAAATAGCTTTTGTTTCTCAAAGGACTTTATCAACAAAGTGCAAAGACAACCCACAGATTGGAAGAAAATTTTTGGAGCCATATATATGGACTAAATGTCCAAAACCTTAACAAAAAGACAAAACACCACAATGAAAAAGTAGGCTAAGAATTTGGACGGTTCATCGGAGGCCATTCAAATGGCCAAAAGGTCATGAAAACATGCTCAACATCCTTGGCCACTGACGTTGTCCGTTGTCCTCCTGTTAAATCCAACTCATGGCAACTCCAAGTGTGCAGAGTTCGGCTCCTCCATATGTTTTCAAGGCTGTGACCTTTTAAACGCAAATTTAAAAAACAGGCCTGGGACATCTGAGTGGGTCTGAACCACCAACATTCCAACTAGTAGTTGAACACGTAAAAATTAGCACCACCCACGGAAATTTCCCGAGGAAATGGTAGATACACAAATTCTTCCAGCAAGGAATGAGAAAGGACAATTAAGTAATTAACCCGAAATGTCTGTAAGAAAGTTTTACTTTCTTCCAAAATGCTGGAAATAAAACGCAGTGCACAATGACACACTCTCACATCACAAAGAAGTACCGGTACAAATTCCAAATTTCACAGTACTGACATGCTGCACAGACTTAGGGATTAAAAAACAAGTCGTATGAGAGTTGGGATATTTTATATAGGTCACTTTTATTGAAGAGTAGTACAATTGTTCTCTCTTATTCAAATAGACTTAACAATTCCAAATTACCTATGCAGTTTATGAAAATAGTACTTTTAAACATTTTTACTCAGGTACAGCTGTAATTTTACAAAAATCACTGGCTTCTCTATGAGGAGGCATTCACTAAAAACCCATTTTATATGCCTCTAAAGAGTAGAAAAGTATGCATTATGCATTCTGAATACTCAAATAACGTATTGTTTTTTAAAAAACAAATTATTAAAATCCAAACTTGCATAGAATTTTGATTGTATTTGGAAAATGTCAAGAATTGCCATGTATGTATTTAATGGTAGCTACTGTTCTCAACTCCTGACTTTTAAAACTTTTTATATAATGTTTATTCACAGTTGCTATTTTCTAATATCTTTCCTATATGCAAGGAGCTCTGGTGATGCAGTGTTTTAAGCATTTGGCTGCTAACCAAAAGATTGATGGTTCAAACCCACCAAGTTGCTCCATGGGAGAAAGAGATGGCAGTCTGCTTCCATAAAGACTGACAGCCTTGGAAACCCTGTAGGCAATTCTACTCTGTCCTATAGGGCACTATCAATCAGAATCAACTCATTTCTGTTTTTCCTATAAGCATTTGATTTTACCTGTAAAATATGGCTTTTAGTGTAACAATTTCCAAGAGAATATATTTCTCCACATTCATTACATGACAGATGTTGTCTTGGCATGATTCCCTGATATGTAGTACAATTAGAATCCAAAATAAACATTTATAAAATTTAATACTTATATAAATGGTCTAGTGTGCAATGAGTTACAGAAATGCTGAATGCTTTTCTTGTTTTATTGGGGATATTTCTCTGTAAAAATTCAGGTTAAAATGAATCTGATGCCTAAACGTTTTTCCTCATTCACGAGACTGGCAGGAGTCTCTTGCCTGCAGAACTTCTCAGATGGACACTGACACTGGACTTCCTAGTTGATTTCCCATGTTCATTACATTCTAAGAATTTGCTGTCATGAGATCCGGGCTTCAGAGGAGGTTCTCCACATCAAGTCCGTTCCTCTTCCCTCTGTTATGGATTCTCTGATGGCTGTTGAAGGCTGACCTGTGGTGGAATTTTTTCCCACACTCACTACATTCATAGGGTTTCTCTCCTGAATGAGTTCTGTAATGTACAGTGAGGTACGATTTCTGAGAAAAGACTTTCCCACATTCATTGCACTCATAAGGTTTCTCCCCTGAATGGCTTCTATAGTGCACAGTGAGGTTTGACATTCGAGAGAAGACTTTCCCACACTTACTACATTCATAAGGTTTCTCTCCTGAATGAATTCTATGATGGATAGTGAGATATGACTTCTGAGAGAAGAATTTTCCACATTCGTAACACTCATAAGGTTTCTCCCCTGTGTGTACTCTTTGATGTCTAAAGAGAGATGAATTATGGGAGAAAGTTTTCCCGCATTCCCTACAACCATAGGGTTTTTCCTCCGAATGACTTCTATAATGTTCAGTGTAGTATGACAAATCAGAGAATAACTTTCCACATATATTACATGCATAGGATTTCTCCCCTTTTGGGAGTAACTGATGTCCATTAAAGGCTGAGTTTTCAAGGAAGGTTTTCCCACATTCATTACATTCATAGAGTTTCTCTCCTAAGTGAGTTGTGTGATTACTGAGGTTTGAGAACTGAGCCAACTTCCCACATTCATGACATTCGTGGAATTTGTCTTCTGTGTGTACTTTCCGATGCCTAATAAAGGCTGAATTTAAGTTGAAGGTTTTGCCACATTCATTACATTCATAGGGCTTCTCTTCCAAATGACTTCTATAATGTATAGTTAGGTATGACACCCGAGAAAAGAATTTTCCACATTCACTACACTGATAGGGCTTCTCCCCTGTGTGTGTCCTCTGGTGTGTAATAAGGGTGGATTTCCGGTAGTATGACTTTCCACACTCATTACATTTATAAAGTTTCTCTCCTGTGTGAGTTCTCTGATGATCACTGAGCGCTGACTTGCGTGAGAAGGATTTCCCACACTCGTTACATGGATAGGGTCTTTCTCCAGAATGATTTCTCTGGTGTAGAGTGAGATGTGTCTTTTGGCAAAAGGTTTTCCCACATTCATTACATTCATAGGGCTTCTCCCCTGAATGAGTTCTCTGATGTTGAGTGAGGTGTAACTTCTGACAAAAAGTTTTCCCACATTCATTACATTTATAGGGCTTCTCCTCTAAGTGTGATCTCCGATGTACAGTAAGGGTTCCCTTTTGGCTAAAGGATTTCCCACATACATTACATGCATAAGGTTTCTCTCCTGTGTGAGCTCTCTGATGTATAATGAATTTTGACTTTTTACAGAAGGATTTTCCACATTCACTGCATTCATAGGGCTTCATTTCCATTCGTGATCTATGATATACATTGAAATTTGACATCTGGATGAAGTCTGGACCAGAATCATTCCAATCATAGGGCTTCTCCCCTATATATGTGCTCTTATGAGTAATGAAAACAGCTTCATTTTTTAAGGCTTCCATACATTCATTATATTCAAAGGGTTTCTCCAAAATATTAATTTTCTGAAGAATACTTTCTGTATTTTGAGAATAGGCTTCTCCACTTTTACTAAATTCATAGGGTTTCTCTCCATGTGTTTTCCCACATTCATTACACTCCTCAGGTTTCTTTCTTGCATAGCTTCCATCACTAATAATTAATTCTGATAGAGATTCTAAACTCTTTCCACATGAAACACAACTATGAGATGCTATGCTTGAAGGAAGAAGATTTGTTTCCACATTATAAGTTTTATGAAATGTATTCTCACGCTCTTCAATCAAGGATCTATTATCCAAGGATACCGTTTGCCTTGATTGTCTGTCTTCATTTCCTTGGATTTTTTCTATCACGTCATCAACTTTCCAAACTTCTTCTAGAAAAGGAATAAAATTAAACAAACCTAGTGAATCTTTGTGAACACACAAAATACAGAATGGGAGTAGTACTCAACATGCCCTGTTTGTAGGGCTCATTCTAGTATTAGGGTCAATCCCCACAAGTAAAAATCATCACGTTTCCTTTCCTTGATTTGTAATATAACATACACACACACACATGCAGAGGTGGGGAAAAGGGATGAGGGTGGGCTAGGACTCAGTGGTAGAAAGGGAGAGTAAATTCACAATGAACACAAGTACCTCTGTTACTTTACAAATACTTTATTCAAAACTTAGATAGAAAACATAAAATAAATCCACGAAATGAGCAGAGGACAAAGTCAATGAAAGAGTGCCAGATTCAGGCAGATGGGGGGATTCATAGTAAACGTGGTCAGTGGGAGAGCGAGAACAATTATTGGATGGATGTTCAAAGGAAATACTCCAGTATAAGTTAAATCTGAACAAGTAGATTACAATTTCTTTATAGGAACTTGCAAGATTATCACCACATACCAAGGTTACTAGAGTAACATCATCACCAGTTTAGATCCTTCCAAAAGCTTTACTTCTTTTCCATTCTGCACATAAATCTAAACAAACACTCTGAAAGCTCCAGCTTCTACATGTTTAGAGAAATAGTCCTGTAACCATGGGTCAAAGTTTCTAGCCCTGATTCACATTCACCTGGGAGAAGAGATCTAAGTATATGAGTATCTAAAGGAAATATAAGATAGAAAAAAGTCTAGCTCAGTGTTCCTACCAGAGTGGCTGGTGGGTTTAAAATGCCAGCCTTCTTGCTAGCAGTCAAAAAATGTCTCAAGCACTACACCACCAGAGCACCTTATTGTTGTTTTTGTTATGTGCCGTCGAGTCAGACCTGACTCATAGCGACCCCTCCTTTGGTTTCCGAGGCAGTATCACTACAGAAGTAAATTGCCCCATCTTCCTTCCAAGGAGTGGCTGGTGGGTTTGAACTACCAGCCTTCTGATTAGCAGTCAAGTGCCTTAGCCACTGTGCTACTAGAGCTCCCCCAGAGCTCCTTAGTATATGAGTATCTAAAGGAAATACAAGGTATCTTTACAAAAAGACCAGATCTCTTGTTCTGATACTCTTATCACTTAACAGTACCTAAACTTGTAACCATCAAATTCTACTTTTTCTATTCGTACAACAGAGAATGGTGGTTAAGGGCATAAATGAGAGAGCATAGCTACCTCAAATGAATCCTAATTCCGACCTCTTACTGCCTGGAGGACTATGGGCAAGTTACTTACCTGTGATGCAATTTCGTTCATCTGAAATGAGGATAGTGGTGCCTAACTAGGGCTGTGAAAGGATTAAATTAATTAAACATGCAAACAAATTAGAACAATTAATGACATATCACGGGCTCATTAATTTGGCCATTAGTTTTCATACATTGTGCCAACTTAAGTGCCCTAAAACCAGTATGTTCCAGGCCTGATACTGATATTTAATTCTGAATATAATTAATTCCTATATTCCTGGGTTTCATCTGGCATAGAACCATTAGAATCCAACACCTGCTCCTAGAATAGTAACTTTCAGTTACCTAACAGTTGTTTGGATGTTCCTAACCATTGTTAGCTGTTGTCATCCACACTCAATGTAACAGTAGCGGTCCTATGCTCAAAGATCTATAACCTAGCTAAGCCAAATACCAAAAGGAAAACAAAAAAGTTACCATTCATGAACATTTTTGGTTAACTATATTCATAATGCAAGGAACTCTGGTGGTATAGTGCCTAAAGCTTTTGACTGCTAACCAGTAGGCTCGTGGTTCAAACCCACCAGTCACTCCTTGGAAGAAGATTGGGCAATCTACTTCCGTAGTGATACCACCTCAGAAACCCAAGGAGAGATCCTTATGAGTCAGATCTGACTCGACGGCAGCGAATTTAGTTTTTGTGTAGTTTGATTCATAATACGTACTCAAACGCCCACTGCACTAATCTTCCAAAAATACCTTCTGTTCTAGGAAAACTGGGGTACTGATAACTCTGTGAATGCCTTGCTCACCCCCAACCAATGTCTGTGCTCATGTTGTTTCAGTCAATTTGATTTCCAGCCTTGGCTCTACTCCAAACTTATCTAGATTTCAGGCAGAAGTTTAAAAATATTCATCAAATCTTTTTCCAGCTCTCTGATGCTATCTTTCCATTGAATTTCAAAACAGCTTTACCAAAAAGCTGCCCAACATGCACTGAAATATAAATATTACATGTTAAAGCAAGTTTAAAACTAGTACATGCAGCTATGTTCTCCTTTCCCACCAAAACCTATGTTGTTGTTGTTGTTATGTACCGTCAAGTCGGCCCCGACTCAGCAACCCCTCCTTGGGTTTCCGAGGCAGTATCACTACAGAAGTAGATTGCCCCATCTTCCTTCTGAGGACTGGCTGGTGGGTTTGAACTGCCAGCCTTCTGGTTAGCAGTCAAGTGCCTTAGGCACTATGCTACCAGAGCTCCTAAGGGGGTCTGCCTCTCCGTCAGGGAGTCGAACCCCGGTCTCCCGCGTGACAGGCGGGGATACTCACCACTATACTAACGAACCTATACTCCGGGAAAATGTGCCTTTATTTCCTTATTTTCTTTGTCTCTCTGAATAGAAATTAAGTAGTAGTTCTTTATCTTAATCAAATGGGGTTGTGGTGCAGTGCATTATTTCATATGGCTCTTCTAGACTTGGTCTTTGTGATACCCACCAGATGACTGGGTGGAATTATGCAAATGTGAGGTGCTTGTGGCCCACCAAGGGGACTGGATAGCTTAGTAACTAAGGTGCATGGCACCCTTGTGGGGTGGGACTGCATAAACAAGGTGTTTGGAACCCTCATGTGGGGACCAGTCAGCTTTACTGTCTGCGAGGCTTACGATGAGCCCTCCCAGAGGCAGAAACGGGGATGCCACTACCATTAAGAAAGAAGAGCCGTGAGTAGAACGCAAAGATCACAGCACTAAACCTCCCTGACCCAGGAGATAGACAGAGCTGTAATACTTTGCTGAGACGGCAAGAGATGGCAATCGACAGCGGGCGCTGCCCCCACTTCCTTCTCACAAGGGTACTATCAGGTTCCACTCAGTCGCTAATTTTATCAGAACCTGTGGATGAATGACAAAGGTCTCTCCTTTGCCCAGCTCCACAGTTAGTCACTGAAAAACTTACTGAATGCCTATTACATGCAAAACAAAACAGAGAACAAAGGCCCACCCTATTTGGATGACTGTAACTCAGACAGAGAAAGAAGCTCAAGTGACTAGTTAATGCCTCTGCAGACAAGGTTATCTAATCACAGCCAGCCTTCTGTGGTAACGATCACTAAGTAGAAAGGAAAGGGCATTAAGAGAAGGGACAGCTTGGAGTGGTGAAAATGTCATGAAGGAAACGTTAAGGAAGAGCTGGGCTCTCAGCTCAGATTTACAAACTACGCATCATCTGGGCAAGTGAAGGGCACAGGAAAGACACGGACAACCACCATTTGCATGGAAGAGGTTTAGAAACCTAAACCAGAGGGAGTTTAATGAACAGAAGGAATTCATTTTGGTAGGCAATTGAGTTGTTCCCAGTGCAGCTGTAACAGAAATACCACAAGAGGCGGCTTTAGCGAATACAATTTATTTCCTCACATTTTGTTGTTGTTGTTAGGTGCTGTCAAGTTGACTCCAACTCGTAAGAGACCGTAGGTACAACAGAACGAAACACCGCCCGGTCCTGTGACAGCCTCACGGTCCTGGCTATACCCGAGCCCATTGTTGCAGCCACTGTGGCAATCACCTTGCTGAAGGTCTTCCCCTTCTTTACTGACCCTCCACTCTGCCAAGCATGCTATCCTTCTCCAGGGACTGGTCCCTTCTGACATGACCAAAGTAGGTGAGACGAAGTCTGGCCATTCTCACCTCCAAAGAGCATCGCAGGAGGCTAGAAGTCGAAATTCAGGGTACTGCCTCTCACAGAAGACTCTCTGCTTGCTCTTGGGGAGAAGGCCTTGTCTCAGCTTCCCCAGCTCTGCTGTTCTCTGACAACCTACATGTGGCCACCTGTCATTCCCCTACTGGTGTTATCACTGTGTCTATCCTGCTTCCTATAATCCAGCAGTGATTAGGTTCAGGTCCTACCCTGCATGCAGATAGCCTCATTAACCTAATGAAGGGAACTTTACTCCCACACACAATCACCTTTCCGGGGAGAGAAGTCAGGACTCCAGCACACGTGTTCTGGGTCACACAATTCACCCATAACAGCAACACGGGACATGTTTGGGACTTGAGAAGAATTTAAACTCCTTTTCAGATGTCACAGGGAACACGCTGCGGGGCAGGGAATGACTTAGGCTGGCTCTTCTAGCCATGGTTTCTGTGACTCTCACCAGATGACTGGGTGACACTATGCAAATGTGAGGTGCTTGTGGTCTACCAAGGGGATCAGATAGCTTGTTAGTAATGCAAATAAGGCACATGGCTCCCTTGTGGAGATGGAACCATGTGAATAAGATATACAGAACCCTAATGTGGGGATTGGTCAGTTCTGTCATTCCCTGCTAGGCTTAAAATGAGCTCTCCCAGAGGCAGAAGGGGGATCTCACTGCCATCGAAAGTGAAGAGCTGGAGGTGGAATGAAGCATGTCCTTGGACCCAAGATCCCTGTGCTGGACCTCCTTGGCAGAGAGATGACAGCAATGGGACCAAGAAGCATGACAGAGTGGCAGGCTTGCCAGGCCACAGAGCGAGAAAGCTGAGTGCCTAGGGGTAGAAGGTGCTGGCAGAGTGCGGTGCGCCTATCAGCACAGCTAAAAGAGCTTTGTAACACTTGCTCAAGCAGGGAAGAGGCCAGGCTGAGAGGCCAAGGGCCTGATGGAATGACTGAGGGGAAGCTGTCCTGTTGGAAGAATCTTATCATGAGCCTTCCTGAACCTGACCTGTAACCTGTGACTTCTCTAATAAACCCCATAAACGGGAGTTGTCACTGTGAGTTATGTGTGGCATTTGCAACGAATTAGCAAACCCAGCAGAGACGTTCTAAGTGCTGTGGGAGGGGGAGTTGGTGTCAGAAACGGTGAGAGGCTTAGAGGGTGGTGGTGTGCCTGGCTGTTGGCTTCCACTTCACAGGGACCGGCTGTGGGCTGCTGATCCGATTCTGCCTCCGCTCGTGAAGTTAGGGGGTCACAGCAAGATGCTGCCCTCCGCTCTTCTGGCAACAGCTACAGGCTCACCTCGCCAGGCGAGCAATGGTAGCAGTTGGCTCTTCAGATGAAAAGATTTTACAATTTCCAGGGAGGATTCATTGTAACCGAGGCAGGAGAGAATGTCATTTATATTAATGTGTGAAGGAACTGGGAATATACAGAAAACTATGAAGGCATTTCACTAAAGACAAAAACAGAAACCATTGAGGGAAGAACAGTATAATCTAACAATTAAAGCGAGGTAGGAGCTCTGGTAGCATAGTGCCTAAGGCACTTGACTGCTAATCAGAAGGCTGGAGGTTCAAATCCACCAGCCACTCCCTGGAAGGAAGGTTGGGCAATCTACTTCCGTAGTGATACTGCCTCGGAAACCCAAGGAAGGGTCGCTATGAGTCGGGTCCGACTCGACAGCACATAACAACAACAACAGGAATGATGTGTAGAATTCACAGCTGGGGAAAGTTCATAGTTTGTCACCAAATATTGTGAGAAAGAAGAAAGCAGACTATTGCTCTGGTCCTGCCTTTTCATGAGGAAGAATTCTTAATCAGACGACAAGTGAAGGGGCTAAGATACCACTCTCGATGTCAAAGCACAAATACAATCGCCAAAATATCCTTAAAATTTGAGACTAGATGAGCCCTTTTAAGGATTAAACACAAAGAAAAAAACAATGGAGACTATGTCCTTAAAGGACATTCCTGAGGAAGGTAAGAGAATGAAGCAAAACCCACTCATGAAATAAGCGTATTGCACCTCCACTAGGGGTCAGGCACCTTCCCACCTCCTCTTCCCTGGAATATGAACGAGCACTTGGGAAAAAGAGGAGGCCCTCTTAGTGCTGGATCGCAAATCAACAAGGCTGGATCTCAGGAATCGTGACTAGCACTCCCCGATGACACACAAGGGGACCCTGCAATGAGGCTGTGACTGAGGACAAGAGCTCAGGCAGAGGACTGGGCTCCCCCATTGACTGCGCAGAGAGCGGAGGAACAGAAAACAAGTCCGAGGGGTTCCACAACCAGGAAGGAAAGAAGATGGAAGACAGAAAGCACAAAATGAAAGTCTGAAGCTAGTTTTTATGTCCCATGTGTTAATGTCTGAAGAAACCAAAGCTGTGATAGCAGGGCCAGAAGTTACTGACAATGCCCAAGAGAGAGGAAGTGACTGAGTGCTTTCTACCGTAAACCCCGGAAAATTCTGCTAAACAGAAACCAGATGTGAACGAGGTGACAAACCTGTGTATGGGTGTTGGAGGAAAGTGGTATCTGAATGTTCGCTGCTGTGATTTAGGGTATCTAAGGCGGATGTTTTCACTCACTCCCAAAGGTCTCAGATGATCATTAAAAAACCTTCAAAGTCTGGTAACTTACCTGGACAACTCTGACATGGACATTCGCCTTCTGCTATCCATGGCTCCTCCCCCTGCTCCAACTTGATGATCACGTCTGGTTTGGTAACATCAAACCCTGTAAACGAGAAACAGAGAAGGACATGGACCAGGGCTAGGCTTCAGGCTCTGAAGCGTAAGAAGATGCTGCTTCATAGCCTACAAAACAAAAGCGCCCATTTTCACCTTATCACAAATTAGAACCTTTCAATGGGGAAACAAAGACACAAACACTGTACCTACTGGGCCCATGGAGCCAAATGGTCTTATCACCTACTTCTTCAAATTCAAGGACAAATCACTGAATTACAGGTGTCACACAGAACCAAGAGCAAAAGCTCTGCTCACCCAGTGTGACGAGATGGCTGTAGTTCTCCAGCATCACATCCCGGTACATTGTCTTCTCATCACAGTCCAGGTGCTGCCACTCCTCCTGGGTGAAGTTCACAGCCACATCCTTGAAGGATACTGGCTCCTGGAATAGCACCGTGACTGGAACTCAGTGCCACAGAAAACAGATGCATTACCACACTCACTGGTCAAGTTAGCCATCAACACTGTATGCCTTAGTCTATGTTACAGACTGTGAGAGAAAAACACACAATACTGAAAAAACACTGCCTTAGAGTTCTTAAGTAATATATCCAAAAAACCAACCTCCCCCCAAAAAATAACCTCAAATGGTCTCAAATAAATGACATCAGTTTTCACCATAAGAAACCAGAAAAAATTAAACCCAAGGTAAACAGCATAAAAATTGTAAAGATAAAAGTAGAAAACAATTAAACAGAAAACAAAAGGAGTAACTAAATGAAGCCAAAAGCCTGTTCTTTCAGAAAGCCAATTAAAGAAAAACCTCAAGCCAAACTGATCAAGGAAAAAAAACACAAATCACCAACACCAGGAATGAAAAAGATGACATCACTACAGAGTCTACTGATGTCAAAACAACAGATAATATTACAACTAACCTTAGGTCAGTAAATCTGACAACTTACATGTCTTTGAAAGACACCACCTGCCAGAGTTCACTCAAGAAGAAAATCCTAACCTGAACAACCCCTAACCACTAAAGAAACAAACACCAGAGATCTCATGATGGAATTTTGCATGACCAATGACTTACTCATTGCAAATACCTTTTTTAAACAATACATACACGGACCTCACCAGATGGAACACACAGGAATCAAGTCAACTACAGCTGTGGAAAGAGGTGATGGAGAAGCTCAGTATCATCAGTCACAACAAGCCCCAGGGCCGACTGTGGAACAGACCATCACCTGCTCATATACAAATTTAAGATGCAGACAAAGAAAATTAAACAAGTCCACAAGAGCCAAAAGGTAATCTTGATTATGTTCTATCTGAATTTAGAGACCATCTGAAGAACAGATTTGATACACTGAACACCAGGGACTGAAGATCAGATGGGCTGTGGGATGACATCAAGAACATCACACACGAAGAAAGCAAAAGGCATGAAAAAGACAGGAAAGGAAAAAAAGAAAATGGATGTCCGAAGAGACTCTGAAACTTACCCTTGAATAGAGAGTAGCTAAAGCAAACTGAAGAAATGGCAAGATAAAAGAGCTGAGCAGAAGACTTCAAAGAGCAGCTGAAGAAGACAATCATAACAAAATGTGTAAAGACCTGGAGTTAGAAAATCAAAAGGGAAGAACACGCTTGGCATTTCTCAAGCTGAAAGAGCTGAAGAAAAGTTCAAGCCTCCAGTTCCAACACTGAAGGATTCTATTGGCAAAACACTGACTGATACAGGAAGCACCGAAAGATGACGGAAGGGACACACAGAGTCACTGCACCAAGAACTGCTTGACATTCACCTGTTTCAGGAGGGAGCGGTCAAGAGCCTATGGTATCGAAGGAAGAAGTCCAGGCTGCACAGAAGGAACTGGTGAAAAACGAGGCTCCAGGAAATGATGGAACACTCACAGAGATGCTTCAACAAACGGATGCAGCACTAGAGGCACTTACTTGTTTATGCCCAGAAATTTGGAAGACAGCTACCTGGCCATCTGACTGGAAAAGACACATGTTTGTTCTCATCCTAAAGAAAGGTGATCCAACAGAATGCAGAAATCATTGAACACTATGACATGCAAGGAAAATTTTGCTAAAGATAATTACAAATGGCTGCAGCAGTACACTCATAGGGAGTGGCCAGAAACTTAAGCTAGATTACGAAGAGGGTGTGGAGTGAGGAATATTATTGCTGACGTCAGATGCATCTTGGGTGAAAGCAAAAACTACCAGAAAGATTTCTGTCTGTTCTGTTGACTATGCAAAGGCGTTCTGTGTGGATCATTACAAATTATGGGTAACATGCCAAGAATGGGAATTCCAGAACATTTCATTGTGCTCACAAGGAACCTGTACATAAACCAAGAGGCAGTTGTTCGAACACGACAAGGGGATACTAAATGGTTTAAAATCAGGAAAGATGTGCATTAGAATTGTATCCTTTCATCACACTTACTCAGTCTGTATGCCGAGCAGATAATTAGAGAAGCCAGATTATATGAAGACTGTGGCAGCAGGATTGGAGGAAGACTCATTAACAAGGTACGATGCACAGATGACACAACCTTGCTTAACAAAAATGAAGACTTGAAGCACTTACTGATGACTATCACAGACCACAGCCTTCAATACAGATTACATTTCAACATAAAGAAGACAAAAATCCTCACAAGTGGTCTGACAAAGACTGAAGTTGTCAGCGATTTCTTTTCACTTGGGTCGATCCACAATCCCATGGATATGGAAGCAGTAGTGGAGACATCGGAAGACGTGTTGCACTGGGTAAACCTGCTGCAAAGGACCTCTTGAAAGAGTTTAAGAGCAAAGATGTCACTTTGAAGACTAAGGCGCGCCTGACCCAACCCATAGTATTTTCAATCGCCTCACGTGCATGTGAAAGCTGATACAATCAATAAGGAAGAGGTAAGAAGAACCGACATATCTGAATTGTGGTGTTGGCGAAGAACACTGAAAATACCACGGACTGCCAGATAAACAAAGAAATCTGTTCTGGAAGATGTACAGCCAGAATGTTCCTTAGGAGTAAGAATGGTCAGAATTTGTGTCACATATTTCAGTCATGTTATCAGAAGGGACCATTCCCTTGAAAAGAGCATCATGTGGGTAAAGTAGAGGGTCATCGAAAAGGGGAAGGCCCTCAGGGAGATGGACTAACACAGGGCTACAATGACAGGCTCAGCACAGCAACTGGGAGGATGACGCAGGACCAGGTGGTGTTTTGTTCTTTGTGCAGTTAGTATGAATCGGAATGGACTTGTCAGCACCTTAACAACACCACCACCACCACGACCAAAACCGGGACTCTCATTTCGAGCTCAGCTTCAGTAGGCCTAAAAGTATCACGATGCCGGCACATGTGAACTTGGAATGTTCTTAGTGCTGATCTACGACTCTTACCGTATTTTAGACAATCGTGTTTTTTTTTTAATCTATTTCTGCTTTCCCATTTTAAAGTATGGAACCTTATCAGCCCCGAAAATGCACCACAAAACAAAGTGGGAAACGAACCACTGGGAAAACTCACCTGGGAGCTGTTCATTTTTTGCTGCAGTTGGAAAAGCGTAGAGAACTGTAGCGATGGCTCTAGGAGTGAAAAAGCCAGGAAAGGCAGTCAGGAGTGAGCCGGCCTGCCTAGGGAGGAATCCCTTGCAAAAGAACCACCCCAGAACGCTCAGTAAGGTAACAAGTTTGACAACAGACAAGGAGCTGAAAGGGTGACGAGGACAAATACCTCCCTACCAGTGTAACTTCAACCTGACCATGTGCTAATCAGATGGGTTAGATGCTACTGGGGAACAGTAACACTTCCTGTAAACACAAGGCGCAAAGGATTTCTCTGATCATACAGCTCACCTATTTTCTTACTGTCTCTTTGAATTTCTTAAAGCCAAAGAATCCACGAGAATTGAGAACATGCGTTCTCAAAAACGCGGTAAATGTGCATAAAGAGACTATTTTTTTTTTCACAGTCATGTGACTAGGTTGCTGGTGCACGTGAGAGAATGTTATTAAGAACTGGGATAAAGTGAATGGAACATCGGCTTAGCAATCCCACCTACAAACCCTGTGACCTTCGCAACCCCAAAGCTGATGACAGGCGTTGAGACCCGTGGGGAACCTGCAGAGGCTGCGGGGAGGAGGGGCGGGGATGCAATGTCCTGGCTGTGGCTGGTGCCCCCTTCACCCCCACTAAACCCCGTCCTCACAACCTTCCCATGCAGGCCCTTTGCGGTGCAGCCAGCCTCACGCCCTCAAATGCAACGCGCTCCTCGCACCTGGAAGCGGCCGACGCCCCCCGCTATCACGCCCTCTGTAATGCCCTCGCGTGGGGTATGCACCCCAAAGGCCTGCTCGCTCGGGGCCCGCAGACACACGACCTACCCCTTCGGGGGCTGCTCGGCCTCTGCCCCACGCCTCGGGTGAGTGGTTCGGATCCGGGACTCCTGAGATCCTGCCTTCTCCCTCCCAGCGGACAGCCTGTTCCCGAGAAGCCGATCGGGGCGTACAGGACAAGCTCACTTCAGCCGGAACGTTTCTCGCGGGCCCAGACTGGCCTCCCACGGAACTCAGCGCCCCGGGACCTCGGCCGGGCCGCCAGAGATGCAGACCGCCCGGTCCTGGGGAGTCCGCGGAGCCTGCGCGCTCGGTCCGGGCCAAGGGAGGCGCACACAGCCGCCGAGCACCTTCCCTGCCGCCGCCACCACTGCCCAGCTCGGTCCCTCCGGCCACAGCGCCGCCGGCTCTGGGGCTCGCGCTCGGGAGTCCCCCTGGAGCCTCCGCTCGGCCCACGCGAAGCCCTGCCCGCACAGCACTGCGCTCGCCTGGCTGCCCTCTCGCCGAACAGTCCACACAGCAGCAGGCACCGTAACTCTCGCCCACCGGAGGCCAAAGCCTGGAAACGAGGGCGAGGGATGACCTGCCGAGGGACCGGAAGCGAGAGCAGTGCGGCGGAAGTGCGCATGCGCGAACACGCACGCAGGCCTGAGTGCACATGCGTAGGAGAATACTGGAAGGCCGCCTTCCGTGCCTCTCGCACGACTACTAGTTGGACTCCGTTTCCCTCCAGTCAATGCGCCAATTTTTAGGGACCGTCTTAAACGTCTCTACCTTAAGCGGCTGTTAGGAGGCGTTGCTTGCGAGGAGCGTTGGGACTATCTCTATATTTTTTTTCCCTTTTATTTTAGTTACGAAGTATCTGATAGGGCTAGCAAATCCAAATTGCTCTACTATTTCAGAGTTTTGCTGAATATTCTTTTTTTCCATAGGAATTTTATAATTAACTTGCCTGTTGTTGTGACTTGCCTAGATCCAGGAAATAATTAAATCTACAAGGGTTTGTAATAGGAGCGTGTTAAAATTATAAGTTAATTTAGAGAAAATAAGCATTTTTTAAAAAATTATTATACTGATACTTCTTATCCAATAATATGTTCCCATTTGATTCAACGTAATTTTATATACTTCTTTAAGTTTTCCTTATTGTATCGGTTTAAGTTTTACGTTTTCCTTATTGTATAGATTTTGCACTCTAAGTTTGTTTCCTGCTGTTTTACTTTTTGTTGTTATTGTAATGAAGTCTTCTCTTCCACTACATTTCTTAACTGGTTACTACATATCTGTATATATGGCTAATGATTTCTGAGTGCTAACTTTTATCCTAATAATTCACTAAGTTCTCCTTTTGCTTGTAGAGTGTTTCCATTGATTCTCTTGGATTTGTTAGATATACAGTCATGCCGTCTGGAAACAGAGATAGTTTAGTATCTTTCCTTTGAATTCGTATTCCTCTCAGTTCTGTCTTTTTTGGTTGCCTTAACCAATCTCCCTGACAAGATGTTAAATAGTAGTGCCATTAGTGGGAACAGTTAAACTAATTCCTGGCTTCAGTGAGAAGCTTCTAATACAGGGGTCACCAAATTGTGAGTCCTGGGCCAAATCTGCTCACTGCCTGTTTTTGTATGGTCTGTGAGCTTTTATTTTTTTATTTTTTTAATTGTTAAGTAGCGGAAAAAGTAAAGGCAAGAATACTATTCATGAGACATGAAATTCAAATTTCAGTATCTTTAAATAAGATTTTATTGGGACACTGTCCACGTTCAGTTGTTTATGTACTAGCTATGGCTGCTTTCACTCTACAACTGCAGAGTTGAAGTGGCAAAGCCTAAAATAGGCACTAATTGGCCCTTTACCAAAAAGGTTGTTTCAGTCTCCTATCTTATTCTTTTTTTTCTACATGAAAAATAGATTAATATTAAACCAATTAATAATTAGATTAGAAAAATCAGATTTTTTTTTTTTTAGAGTTAAGAAACATTGTCAAACAACAGTAATTCCATTCAGTAACTGTATCAATTGATGGCAAGTGTGTATGCAAACTACGAAACCCGAGGCATTTAGCTCAACTGGTTCAAACCCACCAGCCACTCCTCGGGAGGAAGATGGGGCAATCTACTTCCATAGTGATACTGCCTCGGAAACCCAAGGAGGGGTCGCTATGAGTCGGGTCCGACTCGACGGCACATAACAACAACAAATAACAACAAAATACTTTTGGAAGAAAAGTTACTCCTGTGTGAGTGAATGTTATCAGTGCCTCCTAGTTAAGCATTTATCAAAAGGGGGGAATGTGTAAAAGAATCCCAGAACCTGAGGTGTTTGACATAACCAAACTGGCCGACCTGGATCCAGAGTAGACTCCATTTTACTTTATGCTTCTGCTTCTTACTGAAGCTGGACTTCTGTAAAATTTTAGCTGCCCATAATAAACAAGGGTGGGGAGTCAGGAATATGGTTAAGGTAGCAATCAGTTTCAGAGAGCCTGCTGCCTACTCCCTTTTTTGCACTACCGTTTTTTGCTTACTCCAGGCCCTGTTCAAAACTAATCTTGTAAAACACTGATCCATGCCTGCCTTGAGGTGTCTGCAGATTAGAAAAACAAGCTATTTTTGTCAAATTTGAAGTTATGCTGACCATACTGTAAGCTTACTCATGTGACCCCAGTCATGTAGACCCAGTGAATTTTCATGTGTAAAGGCTACTGTCTTGCTCCAGCAATTCAGAGTGCATCGTATTTTCACAAGTGTGCTGCCCAGGCTGGCTATTCCTAGCTAAATCTCACTGTTGATGCTTTTGTAGACTTCCAGATCTTTTATTCTGTGACACAAGCAAGCAACACAGACCTGTCACCACAACTTGAAGGTGAGAAGACTTTTTTTTTTTAATAGAAAAATGCAGATGATAACAAAAAAACCTCAGTTATTGTCTAGTCTTTAAAGATTTTTATTTAGGGCAAGGGAACATAATACATACTATCATTTGTTCATTTATCAGGTGGTGGGAAACATTTTGTCTATTGGAAACTGACAGTTTGCCAACTCTCTGTATAAAATGGTTTTCAGAAGCTGCACAGGTAACAAATATTGTTAGTACAAAGTGCTGCATTTTTTTCAAGGATGCCGTTTGTAATAGACTTAGAACCATCTTCCATGTAACTAAGATATCATGGAATAAGATGAGTGTGTGTGTATATATCTATATATCTATATATATAGATAGATATAAATTAATTACCAGTGTACACTTTCTGATATAAAATTTTAAACATGTTATCACATTTCATCAGTTGGTGGTAGCCATATATAAACAACATGCATGATCAAAAGTTAAAATTCAGTGTAATAGCATCAGCACCCCACCATGTTAATACAAGGAAATAGTCCTGACTTGTACAATGGGCTCTGTATGTACACATACCATACATACATTCTTGAGCACCTCCTCCCCTAAATTCTTTCTGTTATAGCAGACCTGTACTTCACCCATGGCCCACAGCAGTGGTCTGGACACTGGAGTCCTTGATAAGAACAGCCCCTGGCCAGCTGTCTATTTTTCAGGTTTATCAGCAGAACAAATCAGAGCCTCAGATACAAACTTGCACTCTGAATGACCACACAGCCAGTGGGAATTCCCAGCTAACTAGCGGATGCATTGAGGTTCCTGGGAGGAAGTTGAAAATCGACCGGAACCAATGAGAAGATGCGTTTCACAGGATTGGAAGATGAAAGACCCTTCATCTTTGTTATGTTCCCCAACAGAAGTGTTGCACTATCCTCTTTAATATTAACATCCAAACATGTCAAAGGAAGTTAAAAAATTAAAACTGAATCCCCCAAAATCAATCATGAAGACCAAATATCAAATAAAACATTTATGTTTACAAGGACTTGGGGGACTACCACCTAGCCAAATAACTTCAGTAGATTAATAAAAAGAAAAATATCTTAAATAGAAAAAAAGTTGTATTTACACATATGTAACAGCTATAACACTTATCATGAAACTTTATAGAAAGACTATGTTTTCAAAAGTACAAAAATGGTTTAAAATATATTTAAAATATAGTATAACAAATATACTAATAATTCTATAGTCAAAGTAGAATTAAAAATAAGCCAACAGAAAGTATGGCATATATTAAGCTATCTATCAAAATCCAGTGGCTCTAATTTTCTGTTTTAAACATCATTTCCTCCTCACCTGAGGCCCTGTGCGCCACCTTCAGTGGTAATGAAATATATCAGAAAAGGAGACCCTCCTTCCACCTCAGGGCAGAGGTTTGAACTGAGCAACTGGAAAATGTCGGAGATGCCTTAGGAAGGAATGGAGAATGAAAAGACCCTGGTTTGTCGTTGCCCCTCCAAAGAGTCCTAGAAGGCCTCCAGCTTCTAGGAGTGTGACATGATCACTCCAGCCAGTCCTTGGAGAAGAGCTTGGGCTTTTCTAGGTAACTCTCTCTCCCTTCCTCAGGTCTGTCAGTCAGCAGAGTTGACGTGCTGCTGAAAATCCGCATCTCCCCTGAGGCCTGCGATCTGCAAGGAAGAGAAGGAGAGAGAATGTGGGACTTCAGAGACATGGCGACGATTCACATCCTAGGTCAGCCCTAAGCAGAGTTTGTCATTGTCGTCTTGTGCTGGTGAGTCAAATCTGACTCGTGGCGACCCCGTGTGTCCCAGAGAACTGCTCCCTGGGGTTTTCTTGGCCGTCACCTTCACAAACAGATTGCAAGACATTTCTTCCGTGGTGCCAGTCGGTGGGTGAGAAACATCAAGTTGTTTTTTTTTTTTAATTGTATAATTCTTTTTTTTTTTTCTTTATTTAGATTTGGGTGAAAGTGTACAGAACAAATTCACTTTCCATACAGCAGTTCACATACGTTTTGTCTCATGACATTGACTACAATTTCCCACAATGCAACAGCTCCCCTCCCACTTCCTCCCGATAGTTACCTCTTCCCTGTGTCCATCCCTCCATGCACCCCTGCCCCCTGAGCTGTCTCCATGTGCATACACACCCCTTCTTTCTCCCATGATTGTTCTTTCCAAGGAGTGTATCTCACTACCTAATGTAAATGTTCACCTCCTATGCCTGTCTTTTGTTTGGCTGGAAGCCACAGGAGTGGGTTCAACTCCAGACCTGAAGCGCAGCTAGGGGCCATAGTCTCAGTGGTTCCACCAGGCTCTATCAGACCAGCAAACCTGGTCCCTCCCCCCCTTTTTTTTTTCCCAAATGATTTTGAGTTTTGTTCCACATTGTTCTCCCTCTCTATCCAGGATCTCCTACATAGATCCCTCTCCAAGTGGCTGACAGTGGTAGCCGGGCACCATCTAGTTCTTCTGGTCTCATAGTTGTATAGGCTGAGGATAACATGGTGTACCAGTCGTTAGGACTAATTGTTTCCATGAATCTTTGGTTTTCTTCATTCTTCTTTGCTCTGCACGAAGAGAGACCCATCGTTGCATCTAGATGGCTGCTTGCAAGCTTTTAAGACCCCAGTCGTTACTTGCCAAAGTAGGAGGTGGAACAATGCTTTGTGTAGTATGTTATGCCAATTGAGCTTGATGTTCCCTGCCACTATGGTCCCGAGCCCACAGAGAACCATCAACTTTTAGTTTAGTGGATGAGCACAGACCGTTCATGCTACCCCAGGACCTTTTGGGTCACTTACAAATTCAATTTCATCTCTGCTCCTTCATTGTGAACCCCAATCCTGAAGGGTAGTTGTGAATTGTGATGAATTGTGAGTCTTGGAGTTTGGTGAGCCTGATTCTAACTCATAAGGAAAACAGAAAAAGAATCGATGCCTTTGAATTACAGTGTTTGTGAAGAATATTGAGTAGACCATGGACTGCCAGAAGAATGAACCAAGCTGTCTTGGAAGAGGTACAGCCAGAGTACTCCTTAGGAATGAGTATCGTGAAACTTTGTCTCACTTTGGACATGTTATCAGAAGGCTAACTAGTTCATGGAGAAGGACATCATGCTTAGTAAAGTAGAGGTTTCAGCAAAGAAGACTGTCAATGAGATGGTCTGACAACAGTGGCTGCATCAACGGACTCACACATAGCAATGATTGTGAGGATGGTGTAGGGCCCTGCTGCATATAGGGTGACTGTGAGTTGGAACCTACTGGACGGTACTTAACTACTATAATGTGTCAGTTGTAATAAACCACCCTAAAGCTGTTATTTCTCAAATGTCCTTTAACGCTTTAGCAGAAACTTTAGGGGAAAAGGTGTAATTGTCCACAAGGAGAGACTGGTCCGTGAGTGGCTGAACCAGAAAAAGAAAGCTCACTCTATCCCTTTCCTGTCTTCCCTCTTCTGCTTCCCTTCTCCTCAGTTCCTGGTCTTTCTCCTGGTTTCATCTCTTTTTATATATTCTTTCCATGTGACCTTTTAGCTCTATTCACGTCTTCTCTAAATTTCTCACCTCTTCCATATTTACTCTCACATCACAACTATCTTACATAGAACATACCATTAAATATATTTCTGAGGGTCTGCCCACTGCTCCCTTTCAAGCAACAATCTGAGACACACACGTGTGTGTGCACACATGCACACACAGTTGGGGAAGTTTTATATAATTAGAAGGTCATCACAAAATCCCATAGACACAGAAATGGAACAGTCAGAACACAGCAAAAGAGGATGCTGACACCCTGTGAAAATGTGACTAATGTCACTGAACCATCTGTATAGAAATGTCAAATGGGAACCTAATTTGCGGTGTAAAGTTTCACTGAAAATACAATAAAATATTATTTTTAAAAAAATCACAAACACAGACACTTACACAGTTGTAGAAAATTTCTGTGATTAGAAGTTCATCACATAATGGAGTGAGGGGTAACTACACCCAAAGCTTCCTGGTGTAGCCAGATCCCTAAGATGAGGTTTAAACCTAATTCATAAATTATGTCTCTAAACTTCAAAATCATTCCATTTCACAGTAACCCTAAACAAGTCCTTCTTCTACCAGTTTTTCACTCTCACCCTTCTTCGTAAAGCCAACAGAAACCTGTAACCCTGATCTACACACAAGCCATCTCATACATGTTCTTAGCCGAACCTTGAACCCTAGCCTTTGTCTTTAAAAGCTCAAGGTCCGCCTACGCTGTTCCTCCCTGAGTCTTGGTTGACATCACCGACCAAGTCAAGACGTCTGTGTTCCCATGGAGGCCAATTTCATGTATGTGGGAACACCTGACATTGCGGATTTATGTTCGTGTGTTTGTTTGGACCTGCTGCTCTTTCCAGCTGGCCTGACGTGGCTGTGGCGAATGGTCTGGCCATCAGCAACTCGTGTGGAAGCTAATTTGAGTGAAAGTACAGTTAGTTAGAGTTGTCCTTGCTGTTTGCTGTAGAGCTGGCCTCCCAACAGGAGCCGTCTGGGACCCACTGGGTTCTCAGTGGCTGTTTTTCAGAAGTCAGTCTCTAGCCCTTCTTTCCTAGCCCATCTTCATCTGGAAGCTCTCCTGGAACCTGGTCAGCATCCTAGAAACACACAGGGCGCCCCTGACAGATGGGCAGGGGCTGCATTGAGGTGCATTAGCCGGGACTCGAACCCCGGTCTCCCATATGGAAGGTGAGAGTTCTGCCACTGAGCCACGGCCCCCAGTTACAGTTAATCTTCGATTACTGACTATGTAGACTGTTGCATCTCATAACCTAGTGTTAAACATTTACTGTGTTATCAATAAACCCTGTAGCTGGTATCCCCAAGGCCAGAAGTGAATTAAAAAGAGAAAGTGAAAACATAACATATGGAAAATTATGACTAAGGGAAATTCATTTTTGACCCAAATCAACATGCCATCAACGTTATCATTTGGCCTAATTGCTTTAGGCCACATCCATGTTTTGGTGACAAAATGGTTTTCTCGAGGGCCAGCTGAGCGGCCTCCTCAGTACTCTGCATGGCTCACTGAGGCTGTGCCTACGTCTTTTGTCCATCAGGACTGGGAGGCATCTGAGCATGCCCAGCCAGCTGGTCTACTTTGCATTATGTGTAAGGTTACGTGGGGTGAGGAGCTCCCCAGATTTCCCATGTGGGCAATGCATCATCCTGTCCCTGCTGGTGAGAACACAGACATACCTCTCCTCAGGCCAACATCCTCCAGCTTTGGTCGTCTTTGGGGGCTCTAGGGAATGAGGGTGCGGTCTCGCCCCCACACCCAGTGCCCTGGGTCATAAGCCTGGATCTGTAAAGACAAGCCTTGTTAAACCCGTTGCCACTGACCCGTGGCGACCTCAATAACAGAGTACAATTGCCCCCATAGGGTTTCCTAGGTGGTAATCTCTGTGAGAGCAGGGTTCCCAGTCTTTTCTCCTGTGGAGCAGGTGGTGGGTTCAAACCACCCACCTTTCACTTAGCGCCACCAGGGCACGTCAAGAAAGACAAGCAGCCTCCTGAAAAATGATGACCTCCACATGAGTCGCTCCGTCTCTTTCTCTTCTTTCACTCCCCAATCCCCCATGCTCCCCTCATTCTCCCATGCGGCCCTACCCCTCCCCAAAGGAGAGCCCCACAGCTGTACCTCTTCACACTCTTCCCTGGAAACCATCGTCCTCCAGCCCATGAATCTGACAAATTGAAATTTTAGCTTGTGGAATAATGGACGCTGGGCGTGGTTCTTCCCATAGAGGAAGGAGAAGATGGCTTGTTTGGGGGCCTGGTTGTCCTCCTCCATGTCGTTGGCCAGGTAGCTGGGGACAGAAGTCAGGTTGGTTGTCAGGCGCAGAGGCAGGGAGGGTCTTCACCTGAGGTCAGCCCCCCAGGACGGATGACAGCTGCTGTGTTGGAGTGAATTGTGTGCCCTCCTCCCCCACCCCCAGTCTGTGTTGTAAATCTTGTCCCGTGTGCCTGTGGGTAAGGGGCTCTGTGGTACAGTGCCACAGCATTTGACTACTAACCAGAAAGAGGGTTGGCAGTTCAAACCCACCAGCCACTCCGCTGAAGGAACACGGAGCAATCTACTTCTGTAAAGATTTACCTCCTTGGAAACCCAGTGGCGGTCTCTGTGAGTCGGAATTGACTTGAGGGCAGTGGGTTTGGTTTTGGTTTATGTCTGTGAGTGGATCCCCTTGCCCACTGGGGACAGAGTTTTCTCTGTTATGTAAATGAGGCCATACAGTACAGTACAGGTACTCTCAACCAAGTCACTTCTTTTTTTTTATTTCAGTCAACCAAGTCACTTCTGAGATACAGAAAAGCAGATCAGGAAAGGAGAAGACAGGGTCTGAAGAGAATGGAGGTCAACCAGCCTACAAGCATAGAACTCTAAGGATGGCTGGTTAGAGAAGATGAGATGAGGATTTTCCCCCAGCGGGGACAGAAAGAGAGCTTCCCCTAGAGTCAGTGCCCTGAATCATATTCCTAGCCTCCTAAATAGTCAGACAATCGATTTCTGTTTGTGAAAGCCACCCTCTTGTGGCGTTTCTGTTATAGAAGCTCCAAGAAACTAAAACACCTGCTTTGACCAAGTGTCTAGTCTCGTGGGGAGTGTGTAAGGAAACAGGGAAGATAAGTTATAACTATAACCCCAAAGAGCCTACAACAGTAACTTCAGTTCCAGTGCTGCTGGGACACCCTGAAGGTGTTGGTGTTTGAGCTGATCTCTCAGGAGAGGTGATTGTCGTCAGATACATGTCACGGAGCCATCTAGAAACAAACTAGAGTATGAAAATAGAGAGAAGGCAGCTGTGGTGCATTTGGAAGGAACAGTGAGACAAAGGAATGAAATACCAGAATGACAGGCAGTGTAGGTAGTGTTGGATTCAAACTGAGAACCCTGGGCTCGATTAAGAAAGGAATTAGCCAAAAGAATTGTTCGGGAGGGATGTGAGCAGCTAACCCTGTGTTTTAAGAGGCTATGCAGGCAAGGCGTCTAACATGGGTAGGTTGGGGAGAGACTGCATCACATGGGCTGGGATAGCTTTATGAGAGGCCTGGGTCATGTACAGAGGGCATTAGTACTTGGAATCCAGCAGATGGTAATTGCGTGTGGTAGTGGCGTGGGAAAGAGAGTCAGAGGGAAGCAGACATTACTGTTCCAAGCCTATCTGCTTGGTGGCCTGGTGGTGTCTGCCCGCCTGTCAGTGGAGGTTTGCGTGGTGCTGTGGTTTCAGTGGAGCTTCCAGACTAAGAGGGACTAGGAGGAAAGGCTTGGCAACGAACTTGTGAAAATCTGCCAATGAAAACCCAATGGATCTGAGACCAGAACTAGATGGTGCCCAGCTGCCACTGTCAACCACTTGGAAAGAGATCAAAGTAGAAGATCCTGGAGAGAGTGGGAGAACAATGTGGAACAAAACTCAAAATCAAAAAAAAAAAAAAAAAAAGACCAGGTTTGCTGGTCTGATAGAGCCTGGTGAGACCCCCGACTATGGCCCCTAGGTACCCTCAGGTCTGGCATTGAACTTACTCCTGTGGCTTCCAGCCAAACAATAGACAGGCAGATATGGTGAATGTTTACATCAGGTAGATACACTCCTTAGAATGATCAATCATGAGAGAACAGAAGGGCAGTGTTTGCACAGGGAGACAGCTCAGGAAACAGGAGTGCATAGGAAAGAAGGTCACAGGGAAGAGGTAACTATGGGGAGGAAGTGGGAAGAGAGCTGTTACATTGTGGGGAATTGCAGTCAATATCATGACACAAAATGTGTGAAGTGCTTTATGGAAAATGAATTTGCTATGTAAACTTTCACCCAAATGACAATAAAAATGTTTAAATAAAAAAAAACCCTGTGGAGCACAATGGTGCAGTCTGCAGCCAATCACGGGCTGGTGCTGGCCTAGGCAGCATTCCGTTCCATTGTGTTTGGGGTCACGTGGAGTTGGGGACCAACTGGATAACACCCAAGAACGACAACAGTAAACGGTTGCATCAGTTCCTTCTTCCTCTTGTCTTAGGAGGCATTTATGTTTTCTTTTTGTTATTTTTTAAAAACTGACATTAGGGTGTTTGTAGTATACAAAGAACAGTATTTTTAAAACCACTGCACTTTAATTCCCAGACCCAAATACCTCCTACCATTTTTATACACAGACTCAATAGTACTAATAGGTTGAAGGATCTCTCCCATCCACATTCCCAAACTTCCTCCAAAAATATCCACTGCCATAGAGTCAATTATGACTCCTGGTGACCCTACGTGTTACAGACTAGAACTGTTCTATGGGATTTTCTTGGCTGTGATGTTTAGGGAAGAAGATCGACAGGCCTATCTTCCATGGTCCCGCTGGATGGGTTTGAACTGCTGACCGTTCCGTGAGCAGCTGATCAGAACCCACTTATGCCACCCACAGACTGGGCCCCCACTATTGAACATTTGTTGATGAAATGAGGCAAACTACTCACAGAGCTATGAAGAAATGGATCCGGCGGTACTGCCAGGAGAAGAGCCCAGCTCGGCTAAAGTAAGCAATGACCATGCTCAGAAGATACTGATGGGGACAAGGAGAGAGAGGTCACATCCCAGAAGAGGAAGAACTTGGGTCAGGGAATGGGAAGCTGGGGGCGGAGCGGCAGCTCAGGGAAGAGAACCTGTGTTGGGGGAGCGTGCTTGTTGGGCAGCAGGAAGGTGGCGTCAGAAGGTCGGCTGCAAATCAGAGAAGTTGGAGGAAGGGAAGCCCGTGGTGCTGTCAGCAAAAGCTGACAGTTTGAGGGAATGCATTCAGGATGGCTGGTATCAGGAGGGGCATTGATAGGCTGGGACAAAGGATAATCCCAAGGAACTGAGAAGAGAGGGGCCTGGGACGTAAGGTGACAGCAGCCAAAGGGGCCAATATCCAGGGAAAGACTGTGTTCTGGGACTCAAATTCCAAAGAACACTGGGCAAAGGCAGGGGCTGCAGCCATCTTCTAGGACCCCAAAGACAGATGTTGGCCAGTCATGAAGAGGCCAGGGCTATGCAAGACATCAGGCTGGAGATTCATAGATGTGGGGAGGGAAGTAGAACTGTGAGTTTAGAAGGCACCCCTCTGCCCCAGTGTGTGTTTGGGCAGGAATAGAGTTTGGTGGAAAACAATGCTACCTTGTCCGAGACTCTCAAGTTTTTGTCCCAGGCCAGGAACTTTTTAATGACAGGATCCTCTGTGAAAAGAAGACATCTGTCAGACTGGGAACCAGAGATGGGTTGCCATGGTCATAATCTAGAGCAAAGAGGAGAACCTACTTACCTTGAAGTAGTTTCAGGATTATGACCAATGTTTAGGGCAATGGAAAGAGAAGAGAGAACATTCACTGGGCAGGAGATGGTAACTCCCCATCCTGACTTCCCCAAGGAGTTGGATATCAGTAGAATATGAATGTGATCAAGATCTTTAAATAAACAATTATGTCCCCTCATTACACAAGAGTATACCATTTCATACAACACAGAGTAATTCACAGTTATTTTCTTGTTTGATAAGCACATCAGAGTGTGAAGATGGCCATGTTACCCCCTTGGTACAGATGAAGACATTTAGAGATTCAGAAAGCTGGTAAGAGTTGATAGATTTCATAGGGTCCAGTTGAAACCAAGTTTTCTTATCCCGAGTGCAGACCTATTTCAAGTCTAACCTAACCCTCCATCACTTTATAGATGTTCCTCATGAGTGGTCAATATAGAGGTGGCTTGCCACCTCCAGTGATGGAGAGCTCACCCAACTAACAGGGAATTCTCTTCTATTGGAAAGGTGTAGTTATTGGGAGTTCTTCTTAAAAAAAAAAAGAAAAAAGAAAAGAAAAAAAGAACGAGATTGTAGGATGCTATTTGGGACCTCTTCCTACCAAGCAGCCTGTTGAAGACTTCATGGTGCTCAGGCAGCACAGATGACACCCGCTGTCTCTTCAACTTCATCTTGAGCCCACACAGAGACTCCACGACCCAGATTTCCTCAGCTTCTGGGCTTCTCTCCTCCTCAAATGCTGCTGACCAATCCCTCTTCCGCCCAGGAGACTGAGGCAGGGGGTTAGACTCTGCCCTAGGGGCTAAGTAAAGAAATGAGGCTACAGTATAAAGCTTTTTTTTTTTTTTCCTTTGCAATCCAATCATCTATCACCCAAGCTCCTACACCCAAGAAAGAAACTCTCCTCTTCACCCTCGAAGACGATAGGCATTCCCCCAAATGTTCCCATCTTTCTACTTATTCCATCTCCCTGTCCTCAAAATTCTTCTTTATTGTAAATAATTTTTCAAAATTAGATAAAGGGAGGAGGGCAGGAAATCTCTGCTTGCCTCCCTTTTCTCCTCCTTGGATCTCAATTCCGAACCCCCCTTCCTTGCTGCCCAGGTTTACCTTCCCTGTGGATGTCCTTGTCTCTGGCTCTTGTACTTTCAAATCCCTCCTTTCTTTTACTCATACCATACTCAAGCACTCCTTCCTTTCTCCCCCACCCCTTCCTCGTTACTGTTGTTGTTGTTGTTATGTGCCGTCGAGTCGGCCCCGACTCATAGCGACCCCTCCTTGGGTTTCCGAGGCAGTTATCACTACGGAAGTAGGATTGCCCAACCTTCCTTCCGAGGAGTGGCTGGTGGGTTTGAACCGCCAGCCGTCTGGTTAGCAGGCAAGTGTCTTAGCCACTATGCTACCAGAGCTCCCTCCTCGTAGTCAACCTCAAATCTTCCCATACTTTAGTCCACTCACCTGATGCACCTGATGGTCCTGCAACTTCATCATCTACAATTACCTCCGGGGCATACCCTGAGGGACTCAGCTGGGGGCTCAGGTCCTCAGACTGGGAACTGAGTTGACAATTGTCCATGATTTCTCTCAAACAATTCCTTGCCTTCCACAGAAACTTAAGCCCTGGTAGGTCCAAGCCACTATTCAGTATTTTGGTTGAACCCAAACCTGTTAATCTCTTCTCCAAACTAGAGAGAAGTTAGGAGTGGTGAAGAGATCTGAGAAGATACTGTTGTTCACAACCACTACCAAGCATCCACAGAGCTTGGTTCTTCCAATCAGGTAGGTTGGAATCTTCTGATGTCATCAGTCAAACCAACCTGGCAACCAGTTTGAAGGACAACACATGTAACTGCCACAGTGGTATATGTTCTTCTGGAGATTTAAAATCAACAGTATCTTATGCCATTGCTCCAATTTCCAACCATCCTCAATGTGTCAGAGTCATTTTATACCAACTCCTACCAAATGCCATGTTCTCCCCATGCTGCACTTGAAACGTGGGACTTTGAGATCTAGCCTAACCTTCCATCATTATGTAGATGTCCTTCATGAGTGATCAGTAGAGAGGTGTCTTGCCACCTCCAGTGATGGACAGCTAACCCAAAAAGCATGGAATTCTTTTCTATTGGAAAAGTGTAATTTTTGGAAGACTTCTTTTAGAACAAGTGTAGGACTGGAGGGTGCTATCTGGAGCTGCCTCCTACCAAGTGGCCTGTTGAAGACCTCCTGTGCTCAGATAGCACAGATGACACCCTCTTTCTATGCCCATTCCAGAGTCCAGGCTGGTGGGAGAGGGAGTATAATCACAAGGAAATTTAGAACAAGCAGAAATGGTACAATGTCATGAGAGTGAGATAAACCAAACAAACAAAAAACCCAATAGCCAGTTTCTAGACGCTCTGGTGGTATGCAGTGGATAAGGAATCTGGCTGCTAACCAAAAGGTTGGTGGTTTGAATCCACCACCCACTCCATGGGAGGAAGATGAGGCAGTCTGTTTCCATAAAGACTGACAGTTTTGGAAACCCTATGGGGCAGTTCTACTCTGTCCTGTAGGGTCTTTACGAGCTGGAACTAACTTGATGGCAGCACGTTTACTGCCTGTTCTGGTTCCTAGTGCAGCTCTGAGGGAGTATACCCAATGGGACGGCCTTAACAAACAGGAGTTTATTCTTACAATTTGGAGGCTTTAAGTCTGAGTTCAAAGTGCAAGGCTCCAGGGGCTGGGTGAAAGCCCCTCAACCTTGGGATCCAGCTCTGCCTCCTGCTCTCAGCCCAATGGAGCTAGAGGTGTTTTTTCACTCAGACAGCTGCTGGCTGCTGAGACTGAGAAGCCCCAAGGTTGACAAGTCAAAAGGCACAGTCCCGATGTTACCAAACCACACAGCAGGCCATTAACTTAAGTCCATTGTAATTCCCAAGGTCAGCAGAGCATAGCAGCTGCTGAGCAACGACATGGCTACATGTGGGGTCCAAGCGTGCCATAGGCTAGAGACCATTCCCAAAGCTACTCCTTATATACAGGAAGCAGACCACATCCCAAAGGCAGCTACCCAGCTGCTTGTGGTAGATCCCACCATGGAGCTGATTGCCAGTCTCATCATGGGGATTAACTACCACCCGCTGCCCAGCCACTCAACCAGGCCCAGCTAAGTTGACACACAGACATAACCACCACACTGGGTTGAGTTGATTTCGAGTCATGGCAACCCCATGCGTCACATAGCGTTTTCTTGGGTATAGTCTTTACAAGAGCAGATCACCACACCTTTCTTCCAAAGTGCCACTTCGTGGGTCCATCCAAACTGCCAACCTTTTGGTTAATAGATGAGCCCAAACCATTGGCTCCACGCAGGGACTTTGGGAGTGAGATAAGTGTGTGAAAAAGCTCCCAGGTATTGTTGGTTTGTCAGATTCAAAAAATAGTTCAAAACACTCCATTTTGCAAAGCTACTCTGCAGAAACTCACTGGGTTCAGGATTCTGTGCTGGGTTAAGTACACATCCCCATCCTCAGGCATCTGAGTCCAAGACACATTTTTTGTTTTAATTTTTATTGTAATTTGGGTGAAAGTTTACAGAGTAAGTTCATTTTCCACGCAACAGTTCATACACATTTTGTTTCATGACATTCCCTGCAATTCCCCACAACTTAACAGCTCTCTTCCTACTTCTTCCCTGTAGTCACCTCTTCCCTGTTTGCTCCCCTCCCATGCACTTCTGCCCCTTCCTGAGCTGTCTCCCTGTGCAAACACTGCATTTCTGTTCTCCCATGATTGATCACTCCAAGTAGTGTATCTGTTGTTGTGTTGTTATGTGCCGTCCAGTTGGCCCCGACTCATAGCGACCCCTCCTTGGGTTTCCGAGGTGGTATCACTACAGAAGTAGATTGCCCAACCTTCCTTCCCAGGAGTGGCTGGTGGGTTTGAACCGCCAGCCTTCTGGTCAGCAGTCAAGTGCCTTAGGCACTATGCCACCAAAGCTCCTAAGTAGTGTATCTACCTTATGTAAATTGTCACCCCATATGCCTGTCTATTGTTTGGCTGGAAACCACAGAAGTGAGTTCAGTTCCAGACCTGCAGGGTAACTAGGAGCCGTAGCCTCAGGGGTCTCACCAGGGTCTATCAGAACACAACAATGACATTTTAACAAAAGGTTTATTCGAGTAGATATTCTGTATACCTACAGGGAGACTGTTTTGATTCCAGAAAAACCAAATTGCTTGAAGAAGCTAGGTACAGCGGGACTTATGAAGAGAAGAGAACCAGAAAAAACTCACTGCCGTCTAATAGAGTCTGACTGGCTCATAAACTGCCTTCCAGTTGGATCCAATTCATAGTGACCCTTCCTTGGGTTTCCTAGGCAGTTCGGATGAGTGGCTGGTGGGTTTGAATCACCAACCTTCAGGTTAGCAGGCAAATAAATGCCTTAGGCACTATGCCACCAGAGCTCCTATTCCGACTCATAGCGACCTCCTTTGAGTTTCCGAGGTGGTAAATCTACGGAAGTAGATTGCCAAGTCTTCCTTCTGCAGAGTGGCTGGTAGGTTTGAACCACCAACCTTTTGGTTAGCAGTCAAATGCGTTAGCTACTGTGCCACAGAGCTCCTTTGAAGAGGAGGGAGAAAACCTAGAAGATCCACCATTGGTTAATAACATCACTGATTTTGCCCTGCCCTCCCTCTTTGACTGAGATCAACTGACACCAGTCTCAAGGGCCCTCCAGCCATATCTTTTCTGATTCAAATTTAATAAGTCTGACTTAGAATGAGAAATAAAGGATATAATTTCGGGTGAAAGAAAAAGTGCTGGTGGATTAGTTTGTTGGTTTATTAGAACATTTTATTGTGATTTGGGTGAAAGTTTACAGAGCCCATTATTTTCCCATTCAACAATCTATACACATTTTGTTTTGTGACCTCAGTTGCAATTCCTTCAATGTAACAGCCCTCTCCCCACTTCCTCCCTGGGTTCCCTGTTTCCTTCTGTCCTCTTTCCTGCCCTTCCCTGCCTTCTAAACTTTGTTTAGGGGCAAATACCAAAAAAAAAAAAGAACCCGAACTCACTGCCATCAAGTTGATTCTGACTCATAGTGACCAGTAGTAAATATTTACAGAAGTAGATTGCCCCATCCTCCTTCCACAGAGCAGATGGTGGGTTTGAACGACTAACCTCCTGCTTAGCAGTCAGATGCCGTAGGCACTGCACCACCAGGACTCATTGGGGCAAATGTTGCCCTTTTAGCCTCATATAGTTGGTTGTTCTGAGACGCACAGTCCTCATAAGTGTAACTGTTCACTTTATGTAGGCCTGCCTATTGTTCAGCTCAAAGGTGATCCCCAAGGTTGGATTCAGTTCCAGGTTTGAAAGATGACTAAGGGCCACATCTCGAGGCTCCACTAGTCTCTATCAGACCAGTAAGTCTGATCCCTACTATGATTTTGAATTTTGTTCTGTTTTTCTCCTCCTTTCTCCAGGACCTCCTACTGTGATCCCTTTTAGAGCAGTCAGTAGCGGTAGCCGGGCACCATCTAGTTCTTCTGGTCTCAGGCTAATGGAGGCTGTGGTTTTCATAGTCCATTAGTCCTTTGGACGAATTATTTCCTTGAGTCTTTGATTTGCTTCACTGTTCTTCACTGCAGACAGGGAGAGACCAACAGTTGCATCTTAGATGGCTGTTCACAAGCTGTGAAGACCCTATTTGCTGCTGACTAAAGTAGGATGGAGAACACTGTCTTTTTCAACTACGTTATGACAGTATATCTGTATGGACCCCAAGAGCACGGTCCTAAGTACCCAGGCCCAGTGACTCAGTCACTCAAGGTGTTTGGTTCTGGCTAAGAAGTTTTCATACCTTTGCCCCTGTGTGCTCTACTATATGCATTAAAAACAAAAACAACAACAACAAAAAAACCCTAAACCCACTGCCATTGACTTGATTCCAACTCATAGTAACCCTATAGAACAGAGTAGAACTGCCCCATTGGGTTTCCAAGGCTGTAAATCTTTATGTAAGCAGAGTGCTTCATCTTTCTCCTGTAAAGAGTGGCTGGTAGCTTCCAACCGCTGACCTTTTGGTTAGCAGCTGAATGCTTTAACCAGCAAGCTGCCAGAGCTCCTACCACACACATGGGTATATTTGCAGCACATATAAATATGTACGTAGAAACATCCTCTGCCATTCCTCTTTGTATGCTCATAAATATACTCTCATATGCCATTCTGCACCTGTTCATCTTGCATATCTACCTATGTATCCTCTCATATTATCTGTCATTACTGTTATTGCAGGATTGTGTACATCATTGTATTTACCAGTGTCTTCTTTTGTCTTGATCATGCTGTGCTGATCTCTCCTTTATTGTATTTTGCCTTCTTCGCCTGAGTTAATAATGTGTCTACTCTCTCTAGTCAGTCATTTTCCTTCTCTCTTCCCTCCATCCCCGGTAACCATCAAACAATGTTTTTTGCTGTGTGTGACCCTTCTCTTGACTTTTTATGGTAGTAGAGTCTCATACACTATTTGTCTTTTCGTGATTGGCTTATTTCACTCAGTGTAAGGTCCTCCAGGTTCATCGA